AAAACATTCAGGATCTGTTTTCAAAAGATGCTTTTTCACAGACTACAGTGCAGGGAAGACAAATGTTGACTGCTAAGGGCTTCTGTTCCTTTGTTTATTTTCTGACAGATTGTTTTTTTATTAGTTGTTGTTGGTTTGTGTTTTTTTGTTTTGTTTTGTTTTGTTTAGATGCCAAAGCATCTCTTTTTCTGAGTTGAAAATTAAAAAAACATTTTGCATTATTTTTCATTAAGTAAAAATAATGTATCAAAAAACCCAACACACCTTCGTTCAACCTCTATCCCAGAGATACCCTGCTGGGTATAGAAAACTCACTTACTGCTCTAAACTAAACTATTCCAGAAGTGGTGCAGCAAGCATTTGAATAGGAGTTTCCCACAACTAACAGGAAAGGAGTATAACCCCCAAACTGTAAACTTAATAACTGAAGTATTTTCTGGATGTGTGTTTTTTCTCAAGGGAGTATTACATTATTGGAATGGACATATTTTGGCTCCACACAAAACCGTAGTGTTTGGAAAGAGGTGGGCTACCCTCCAATTAAACTGTATATATACTTATTTGTTTTAATCCACACACACACACACACACAAAAAAAAAAAAAAAAAAAAAAAAAGCAGGAAGATATGCCAGTCACACAGTCTTTTAAGAAGATTTCTGCTCATTTTCTGAGTGTGCACATCCCCAACAAAAAGCACAAGTTGCCTTCATGATTTGTTATTCTTAGTGTGTTATCCAGTCCTCTGCAGAGATGAAGCATCTCCAAAAAACAGAAAAATCATTACCAGATAAATTCTTTTTAGTTTAAACTCTCATTGTGCATGAGTACTGATTAACTAAATTTAAAAAGCCAGCACCAGGACTAGTAGACTTCATAAGGTTCAGATGTCAATTTCCCCATCAACTTTCTCTAAATTAAGGAAATCTATACTTCAGGTTACAGGCAGAGACTGAAGCTAGAATAATTTGAAGAACTAAGCCAACAGAATAATACTTTCTTCAGTGAGCATTGCTTCAGATCAGGAAGGTAAAAAGGAAGAGGTAATTTGTATTCTATTTAGAGCAGATACGCCATGAGGAGACTTGCGAACCTATTTTTACTGTAAAGAATTATATAAAAACAGTCTTTCCAAACACACTGGAAGGCACTTATGTCTGTCCCTGCCAAGGCATGTTACTTTATGTTACAGCAAACTAACACCAAGCTGAAGTCCAAAAGGATTAATTCTGGGACCATGAGGAAGGCTTCTCCTGACTCCTTCCTACCCAGATTTCCCACAGACGCTGAACAAGAATAAGAAACTAAGCAAGAGTGATTTTTATATCGAGCAGGTCAGGCACCTCTTTCTCCAGAAACTGGCGGAAAAGCAGCAATTTTAGGAAATGTGCACAAGCTTTTCAGGTGCACTAGTAGTTCCACCTAACAGAAAGCAAAAAGATATCTAGCGCAGACCCACAGAGATTGGTTTAATGCTGTAAAATTACATTTTAATCTGACACACTCGGAGTTCTTTACCAAAAAAGAGTTCAGAATGTTATTACTCTTTTCACAGACAGAGGACCTGACTCAGATTAAATAATTTGCACAAGGACACACATGAAGTCTATGCAATGTCTGATCCAGGACCTATCTTCTGACTACTACTGCTGAGCATTAACAGCCCCCTCTTTCCTCTGCAAAGCTTCAGGCTTCAACAAACAAAGCATTCCTCATAGTTAATTGGTATTACATGGAAACTCAACTGCTCTTATTTACAAAACTACAGATTTATGTCAAGCAAAGCCAATTATGCTTAATGTTTAAACTATTGCAGGTGCTCAATGACATTGTTGCTAGGCAGTAGAAGTGAAATTGCTCTTTTAATGCATCTTGTTCCAACTGGGAGCATGTGTTTTATCATCAGTGCAAACTTAACAGATGGAGATCTTAATCCTCACCAACGAGCTTTCTTCACCCTTCCGCACTTGAAATGGTGTCCCATACATTTAGACTTAACTGAGGTGCTCAGTGAACTGTCTGGGACAACTCATTTTTCATATGTGCATACATGAATACAGAATAAAGCACACATTTAACCCTTAAAGCAGCACCAGCAATGCTCAGCACTCCATATGGCTATTCAAGGTTAGTACTGACCTTTCTGAGCACGGTACCTAAGTAGCTATAACCAGATCTGTTAGACAGCACACAAGCAGCTTCTTTCAAAGTTGAGACTGAATCTACAGATTCCTTTATATTAATTTCATTGCTTGTCAGGACAAGGTTTGAAAAATTTAAGCAGTAAAACTACAAAACTGAACTGGGATGTTTTTGTTCACTGACAGCCTGTGAACCCCAGTTTGGAGGCGACTTCTTCCATGCACTATTTCAAAGATTCAGTCCTTTATGATAGGGATCAAAACATGCAAATCTGCATTTACTTCATGCATTGCAACATGAACATGTTATCTGAATGTTTTATCGTCTCCCATGAGAAATGTCATAGATCAACAAAATGCTGAACAAAAAGCTGTTTTAACAATTTACAGCTGCTTATTACGTCATTTCCCATGCATACATGCCTCAGTATTTATTCTCTTCATTTTTCATAATGGATTAACCCAGATGTAATAGGCAGCATCTTTCAAAGTCAAGACCACAGCTACAGAGTCCTTTACACTTATTTCACATATGCTGGGACAAGATTTATAAAAAGTAGGAAATGGTCTGAAACTAAAAATAATTCCATTATTTTTGTATACAGCCCCAAGTGCTCCAGTTGGGGAAGCATCCCTATCTGTTGAGGTGTAACTGCTGAATGGCTCTGTCTTAACAACAAGCAAATATTCACCACACAAACCATTTTAATTCATGTAATTCTAATATCTCCTTATGAAGGGTGCCCAACGTTCACCCTCCATTGCTGTAAGGCTTTCTTGCAGTGTTGCATGATAGAGATCCTTCCTTACAGGGATTTTTTTTTCTTCAGAATGACAGATCTTTATCAGACAATTAAACTGCAGTATTTTATGTTCTCTGCTGTGATCTATTTTCAGATTTTGATCTCTGAGAAACAACAGTCTCAGTGTGTGCAATCTCAAATTTCGTAAGCATGACTGGAAAAAATACATATGTTCAGAATGGGAACTGAACCAAGGATCACCAGAACCACAGGCTTCTAAAAAGTTCATCTTATCATGAGAGAAGCCAAGTAAATTTTGCTACCAACTAGCTGGAGAGAAGTCACCAAGACAGCACATCAAGAGGCCATACCCAAACTCCTAACACTCAAATGTGCATAATTTTTAAGATTAAAGAAGCACAGAAATAGAAATTCACAGACCAGGTCTCAGAGACTTGAAAAGAAATCTTCTGCTTTAGAAAGCTCTTTCATAGAAACCTAAACAAAACAATGAGCAAGGTCAAGATTCTCAATAGATAGGGTCTCTCTTCTCTTCTGGGACCCCTGGAGTTTCTTCCTCTTCACTATGCAAGCAGAAGCCAAGGTGAGAAAAGTAGGCAGTCTTCCTCCACCCACTTCCCCTCCCCCCCAAAAAACCCTCACAGAGCAAATAGCCAGTTGCACACTCAGCTGTGCCACTGAATCACTGTGTCAGTCAGAAAGCACTTCTTGAATGTGGACAACCATTACTGATAAGCATGCATGAAGATACTTGTGTTGGTGGAGATGGAAGAAACATCCCAGGATCAGTTTCCCTTTTATCACAAAGGACAATATTAAACAAGCTCCACAAAAGCTTACTTGCAGATGGGTACCTCTCTTTTCCACAATATCTGTTGCCATCTGGGCTTAAACTGGGCTCTTAGTCACCTTCTGATGACTCTCATCTACACAAGTTGTTTCCCTTGAGAAATATTAAGGGAGATCATCTCTACCATGTTTTGTTTAAAAGATGAGTGCTCATTACACACAGGCATTAAGGTTGTCTGGCAAATCTACCTTTGATATATCAGCATTGCATTTTATTCAGTTTTCCTTTTATCTCATGACTTTAAAAATTCTCTTTTATTTATTTTTTTTTTAAGCAAAACTTTAAATACAAGTGAGATCAAACTAACAGCTTTAAGACAGTCCTGACTGCCTTCCTTCCTACTTGTTACTTACTGCATTTTGCTTCCCCCTCAGTGCTCCCCACCCCAGCCTATACCTGCAGCATGGTTAAATGGATAACAGTACTGTGATTACCTTCATCAACTCTTTTACAGTTTCAGTGCATAAACCGTGTCACTTCAGAGCATTGTGTGCATTCAGTGTGATTTCTCCTGTAGTATAGCATTCCTTGTGTCTGGTAGCATTCTGACTAAAATTTTCAACTCTGTCAACTCTTAATCAAAGTGTTCCTCTAGTTTTTGGGTTTTGTATATTTCTTTATTACGTGAGAACCCTAATACTTTCCTCATTATCATTTTATTAATATGACTTAAAAAGGATTGATCAGCATCACAAGTCAGTTTCGGGAGTGCTTAACACTGTTTAGATTTTTAAGATTAATTTCATTAATTCATTAATTTCAATTTTGTTAATTGTTTCTTCCTCAACTTGCAGCTGTATCTACACTTTCCTGAACATCTTCCTAACACCTTCCACCCTCTCCAACTGGGTAACAACTAGTGATTTTGACCTAAATAAGTTGTAGCCTCTGGATCTCCCACTAGCAACATTACTGTATATCATCCTCTAGGAATGACAAATACCACAGTGCGTCTGCTAAGGCGATGGCTACATGCCTCAGCACAAGTGTCTCGCACCAGATTTTTACAGATTTGTCACTAGCTTATAATATCAGTATATTCCTGGTAGACCTCAAGGCAATCTCTAGATAAGTTTAGCAAGGTGGTGTCCATTTTCCTGAAGAGGAAACTAAGGTGAAGCAGCAACTTGCTGAAGATCGGAGAGCAGATAAATATTAACCAGGAATAACACAAGACTCCTACCTTACAAGTATGAATTAATTAATACTGCCTACAAAGTTATTTTCAAATGATACTGTCACAGTAATTCGCTAAACAAATATATACATGAATTTATTAATTTTTAACCATTATTAATCATAAATACACATGAATACCTGTCCTTTTTCCTATACAGATTAAAAGCATCTCTACATCAACCATGCAAAGCAGTGAACTCTCATTGTCCGTGGCATGCATTATGACAGTGCAGCATCCTACAAGGCTAAATCCTAAGATAATTGCTATTTTGTAAACTTATAAATAACAGTCCTAAGGTGATTAGTAACTACATTGGTGGTTCCATTAAAGTGCACTACATTATATTTCATTAGAAAGCTTATAGATAACAATCAAAATTTAGTCCAACAAGGGTGAAACTTTTCAAGTTGTCTCCATAGGAGACAAAATGGAAGAATGATCCAGGACACTACCATAGCGCTCGACGACTTTGTCGTGTTTCAGAAAGACTTTTTCCTCAGAAAGACTTCCTCTGAATTCACTGGTATACGCCTGGTTCAGATTGCTGTATCTGGGCAGGAGAATAGTGAAGGAAAATGCTAGGGTAGACATCCTTTCTGGGACTGATTTCACACAAGATAAAAGTGCCTTAGGAATCCTGAGTTTCTAAGCAGTCAAAGAATATGGTAGCAGTACACATTTTCATGAAAACTTTCACAACAGAAGGACAAGAAGTGCTAAACTTGATGCAAGCATTAACAAAAGCAGTACTTTATCAATAAATATACAGCAATTAATATCTGGAATAGTACACAAAAACACTGTTTTGCAAACATGCTTTTCTCAGAGAAACTTCAGTAGACTTCTTCTAATTCAGAGTTATAAATGCTAATATCCTCCTACAGTTAAATCAGTGCTTATACCTGTATAGTTTCATCCTTTTTTCCTCCCTTCTGCAAAGTGACAAGTATGAGAATTTGGCACAAAATGAAATGGTAACATTTAATCCCAAAAATATATTTCATGTTGGTCTCGGTCATCTTACTGAAAAATAAAATACCTCAATATCGTAATGAAATGTCAATTTGAAATAAAATTAAATATATACACACAATATTTGCTCTAAAAGTAATGCCTCCTATCTTATGTTGGCTCACAATGTCAAAGGCAGACATTGGTGGTATGGCCATAGAGGTTGAACCTTCCCATCAACATTTTGTTAGATTTTGAGCCTTATGCTAAGGCTCATAGGGACAATAGCAGTGTTTACTATACTTTGGTACATAAACAAGTGCACTGCAAGTCATTTTTAGGGTTTTAATACCTTGGTGCTATAGTTTTAATCCCATATTTATGTCCTTTAGGAAAGGATTCTCTTTTTAGTTCAAGTCAGTTTTTGTATTAAAAGACTCTTAAGGTACTCAAGATTAATTATATGCCTTTGGCTATTTACTTTTACCACACATTTTCTGTGAAATCTCCCACTTCAGGAAAAGCCCACAGAATTCTGAATCCTGGACAACATCATGCGATCACTACTAATTCGGTATTGCATGCTACTTACAGGTTCTGCAAGAATTTCTGCCCTACCTACAAATGAAACATCAAGTTTATTTCCTCACACATACCTGTGTGCAATGGTCCAGAAACCAAGGGTGTTCACCATCATCAAGGAAGCCAAGAAGAAGAAGAATCTCTCCAATTTACCTTCATGTAGCAAGTGTGGAAACCAGTTGCCTGTCAAAGCAGACATTTGAAGCAGAATTAGTTTGCCTTGCAGGGTGAGACGTGATTTTTATGAAAGACACAAAGAGAAGCTTCTGTAATACACAGTCACAGCAGGTGACTTGAACCCTCCTGTAGCTATTTGCACAGTCTTAATTCACTCAATATGTATTTTTTCCAAGTCTACAGTGCACTTTGCTTCTGATACACAGACATGAAGTGAAGAAATTTCTTTTTTTTTTTAATAAATCTGAATCATATTGGAAAGTTAACTATACAGCTATTACAGTCATGACCGGGCCATTATCCCATTAAATGAATGTCAGTGCAAAAGTTTTAGAAAGGGTTATAATTAAGGTGGTTCATAGAAATCTTAATTTACATCTCTCATGGTTTTAAAAGGCTTTTGTTTCAAAAAAATATATTTTTTTTTTAGTGTCTTGAGTGTTGCTTCATTACCAAGATGCTAGCTGACATTTAACTTTCTCTACAGTTGCCTTTAACTAGGAGTCTGTAACACATTATTGCATTGTACACATAATTTGTTCTGCAAGAGTCACAGAGCTTTGGCTCACTGAGGCTTTTAGCAATAGTGTCTGGGACATTCTGGAAGAAAGACTCCCTTCAAGAACAAACAGTACCACCTATAGATGCACACCCAGAGCATCTGTCTGTATTACGTGCTTTCAATGTTGCTCATTACAACCAGCAAATAAGCTCAGGTGGTAAATTATTACTATGGAAATTGAGATGCTTAACAGGAAAGCAAGCCCCAGTCAGACTGAATCTGAAGACAATCACCTCCTGAAGCATTATAATCAACTACAATGAGAGGTAAAACCAAGGTGAAAAAAGAAATGACTGTAGATATGGAATATCAGAGAGCTGTACAGTGCTATAATGACCTCCTATGTTATTTGAGAGCACACGTTGTTTACTGCCTTTGAGGAAGGAGAGTCAGCCCTCATTAGCAAGTAGTGAAGTTCAAGAGGAGCACTCAGCCACAGCTGAGAACCCGATGCCCACACTGCACACAGCTCAGGAAGGCTGTGTCAGACTGATTCCCATTAGCAGCTGGAACACAGCCAGCACAGACATTTTGGGGATTTAGTTTCATCCAAAGGAATGTTTTTTTTTTTTTTTTGTTTTTTTTTTTTTTTTTTTTTTTTTTTTTGTGGTCCAAGATTGCTGTGATGCAAACTGATGCACAAATGGAGATGATCAGAAACTACAAGTCAGAAGTACACACCTGACCTGAACTAAACCACAGCATTTATGCACATAAATACACCTTTCTTTGCTCCCTCAAATTCTGGTACCAATTCCTTCCCATTTATATGGGTCACTATTCACCACTTGAACTAGCTTAAAAGGGAGAGGAAGAAAATAGCTTTCTATGGCGTAACTATCCTGTGCAGAGCTGATAGCCACAATTTATCTTTTGACCACTGAAGACATCTTCAGCCATCCAATGCAATTCTTAGCATGTTAACTTTTTACTAATTAGATTTGGAGAGAGGAAAAAAAAAAAATACACACGCACTTACTTACATCTTTCCTTCACATTTTGGCATGGTAAACACATTTCTTTTCAAAGCAGTTACCTCTCTCTCTCCTGGGACTGTCAGGGAACACCTGCCATCAGTGCAGCAGCTCTCCCCCAGCTCTCAGCTGACTCTGTGCCATGTCACCTTCCTGCCTGTCACAGCGCAGCACCACCTCACCTCCATGCCTGGTGCCTTTTGTAGCATTATTTCAGAGTGAGCTTTAAAACGTATCACTTAACACTGTCAGTTGACTGAGCTCCTAGGTGCTATAGCTTCATTTTAGTAGCTTATAAACTTTTACTGTCATAATTCACAATCAGGTAGTTTTTCATTTTGCATCCCCGTGTGGCTGACAGAGCTCACGGAGAGAGCAGGTCTATCTGATGAGAGGGGAAGCACACATGGGGCTTAGTGCTATGGCTTGTCAAAGCAGAGTTCACACTGTCTGCCAGGTTACTTACACTGGCTGGTATAACTATATGAGCAGCAGGAGTCTCCTAATGGAATAGCGTTTACAATGTAAACTGAACAGAAAATATGGACTTTAAAATAGTACTAAGCTATATATAAGGAATTCAGCAGCTTTTGAGAAAAAGTGAAATAGATTTTGGACACTATCTTAATGGTAGGAAAGGTACCATACTGAAAGGTTGAAAGTGAGACTGGTTGGCTCTATCAGGGTGGAACATGCACATGGGCATTAGGAGACCTGGGTTCTGCCTTCGTTTTACCTCCTCTAGAACCTCAAAGATCAGGTTGGTCTGGCAATATGTATTTTCACCAGTGCGTATAGCCAGCATTAATTAATGATTTCCTAGTTTCTGTCACAAATACTTGCTTCTTTTTTTCCTTTTAAAAGTAGGTTGACTTCCCAATGGAGTAAGTGTTATACCTGAGCGACATTATCTTCTGCTCACACGCAGTGCACAGAGAATCCCCTGCTGACAAGAAGACTTGGGAGAACAGCCATTGGTGCTGTAACTTCCACCATACGTTTTGGACAGTGAAACTACCTTTAGACACTCCTTGCCCACCAGAAGCTTTCACAAGCCATATCTAGCACGAATCTAGAACGGGCTGGCTTTGGTTCATGTTTTCAGAATTTTATTCTTAGCTATGAATGCTAGGAACTTACTGGGTCTGTTTATTTGTTTTTTGATGGAATAAAATGCCCTTGGCACTACTGTGTTTGAAGAATTCAGAACTTTTTCATCCTTCAATCACAATGCAATATGCTAACAATTCACTTTTCCCCAAAAGACACTGCCTTTGGGTTCTGTCAATCCTTTACTTTTCTATAGAGATTGCCAACAGAAGTGCCAATTACAAGGTTGGTTTGTCACATAGATAATTGCTCACTGGGAATTAACTTTCTACAACAAGCTCCTGATTTCCATTTTTATTCCAACAATAGAAATACTCAGTAGCATGAATCACCACAGAATCAGAAGTTTCCTTCAGCCAACTATTTTAAAGAGCCTTTTGTTATTTGCTAGAGGTGAACTGGTTATGCATTTCATAGCAAATAGATAAAAGAATTAGAAGACTAAGCCCAGGAAAATCCTGAGTTCCTCAACATTGCTACCAGATGTTGTCAAATTAAAAATACTTGGTAAACATGCACTAACATTCACCAGCCTTATCCATTTTGCATCAAAAACGTTCAAATAGAGCAGAGGAATCTGATACAACACCAAGAAAAAAAAATGGATCCTTCCAACACAGGAGAAAAAGTAGGTGAATCAGCGACTTGCGCCAGTTGTGGTGGACAACCCCATTAGCAGCAGACAGTAAAATAAGCTATGAAGAAGTACGTGGAAAGGACTGCAGAAAACATTTGCCAGATGTGCTGGCACACACAAGGTACTTGTCACAGTGGTGGTACCCTTGGAGTTCTCAAGGGATTCACAGTGAAGCCCAAAGTCACAGAGGAAGGCATTGTTTACTGAATAATACCATTGTTTTCAGTACAGGGAAAGTAGAGAAGATAAAGTAAAGAAATCATATGAAATCATAAGAGTTTAGTTCATTCTGTACAACTCCTGTATTTTTTTTTTTAACTCTATCCTTCAACATAGAATGTGACTATAGAAAAAAAAATATCAGATTTTAGAAAAGAATTGCACCTCCTATAATTTCATCAAGTTAGCAGGCATATATTTGGTGTTTAATCATATCTGAATTCAAGTCTTGGCCTCCCTCTAATCCTTGTTAGCTAAGTAGGAACCAATGGATAATACCATCTGGACTACAAGAAATATCTTTTAGCTTTATCATCATTGGTGTTTAGAATCACAAAAAGCTCCAATCAGGAAAGAAAAAACTAGCTATCTCAATACAACTGTGTCAGGGCAGTTTCCTTTCTCTGACCTTTCCTCCCTCCCCCCTTAAATATTTACATTAATATTTTTAGAGAACAGTACTCTAAAATGATTGACATAGGAGGACAGGTTGTGTCTTGCATCTTCTTCCATTAAAATGTTAGGAGAGGTAAGAGATCCAAAAGGAAGCAGTTTCCCAGCTTGTACTGAAAATATCACTGTCACCCATCATCTGTTTGCACTCGTCAGATTTTTTTTTTTTTGAACATTATATTTCATCAAATTCACACCATCCCCATAAATGTGATTAACAAGTGATTAATGCAGCTTCTGTGACTGATATTTGATCAACTTTGCCAATAAAAATCTAAATAATAATAAAAATCTAAATAATTTTCTAAACTAGTGACATGAAGTAGTATATAAAAAGGTTTAAATAATATTCTCACTCTCTGTGCTTCAAAATATACACTGGAGGATCTTCTTCACTGCATCCTGAATTGCCTCATGGCAATCATGGCCACATTGCTTAAATATGGGGAAACCAGAAATAGTTTTGGCATAAGTTCAGTGAAACGAATCATTGCATAAAGCAAAAGCATCCATAGCCCAAGAATTACATGCAGAGACTTGTGAAATCCTACAAAAAGTGTTGCATAAACACTGTCATCATCTTTCAGCAAGAAAAGAATGAATCCCCATCTTGGTTAAATTGGTTTAGCTTTTCAGAGAAAAAAAAGATCAGAGTCATTTGTTTTTCTCCACAATTTCTTAAATTGTCCATGTACCAAATGTTTCAGAAGCTCTTTAAACAGAGCTGAAAAAAAATACCAAAAGCAAGAGTATGTCATTTGAACTTACTTCATTTAGGAGTGGTCACCGTTTTGTTCTTTGAAGCTCTGTCATCTTTAGAAGTTTCAAGAATTAACTGTTAATCTTTATAATTTAAAGAATTATTGCTTTGCTGATCTAAAGCTTTTCATTGGAAGCGCAAAGGAACACCTTGAGAAGCATATTATAAAAATTCAGAAAAGTACAGAATATGAATATTTCATATATAAGAAATGCTTTCATATAAAACAAGACCAACTCCAAGTAATTGTTACATGCTATGTCCAGCCCCAGAAACTAAATCACAAGCTTACTTTGATTCAAGACAGTGAGACAGAAGTCTGGTGGGGTGAGTGAAAGAATACTTCACTAGAGATGCTCAAGAAGTGTTTGGATGTGGTACTAAGGGATAAGGTTTAGTGGGGAAGCTATTGGTGGTAGGCAGACATTCAGACTAGATGATTTTGGAGGTCTTCCAACCTTGGTGATTCTATGATTGTACAATGAAAAAAATCTGTTATGCCAGTGGAAATGCAAGCAGCTCTGCTCACTGCCACAGATGTCTTTGTACACGATGGTTCTTTGCCTGATTCATCCACTGCTTTTACCCATCTCCAGGTGACGCTTGTCTGCCTGGTAATTAAACTCTAAGAGAAGCATGAGCTTAAAAACCACCCCTATTTCAGATATGTAAACAAAAGAATCCCTGTCCTTCAGCTCAAGGTCTCAAATGCATCCCTTTTCAAATTTACTTATGAAAAAGTCATATGTATTGAACAAAGATCTATCAGCAGAGGAAAAAAAAAAACCTTAAGCCCTTTGCCTTTCTTTAAAGACAGCTTCACAGAGAAAACTCCAGTATGGGGGCTTGAACTAAATACTGCTTAGAAGAATTAAACCAAATTACACGTAACTCACCTTGAAACATACCAAGTTTTCTGGGAATGGCATTATTTGCCTGAAAAAGGGTAAAACACATGGCAAAACCATACTGGCACAGAATCTAGTTCTTCTAGTAATTGATGAAAGGGAGAGGGGTAAAGACTGCAAGAAAGAAGTGTGTCTGGGGAAGTAAATCCCTTGGATAGCTTTGAAATGCTCAATCCAACTTCCTTTATGTCATAGGGAAACAGAAGAGATGTATTCTGCATTCTCTGAAGCAGTGATCTTGGTGCCATGGCCTGAAGCCTCCTTATAATAATTGTGGCTAACATGAACATATTTGTTCATTAACAACAACAACAAGATAAATCCAAGATGATTTATTTTCTAGTATTGCAGAGGAGAATAGAGATTGGAGGTAGGGGCTTCCTGCATAGTGCCATTCTCTAATTATTCCACCTATCAAAACTAAGACTACTCCTTAAATTTAGCTTTACAGCTGTATTCATCTATTTTCTTTCTTAATTCCATCTTAACTGTGAAAGCACATCAATAAAATTTTGGCATTCCTTTCAACTGCACTGTCTATTGCTCCAGATCAATAATCAATGGCATTAGAAAACTGCTCAGAAACACCAGTCGTGGGCATATTCTTACCTTGAGTGCCAGTGTGGACTGTCTGAACAAAGAAAGCTCCCATAAAGCAGCCAGCTCCATTGAAGAGAGTTAAAAAATGCATGGAAATTCCTCGAATTCTTTCTGGTACAAGCCAGAATGATAGCAATGAACCTTTAAAATAGAAGCAGATACAGCGACAGCTTTGTTTTATTTTTAAAATAGCAATGGTAGAAGACAGATGAGAAAAATCTCCAGTCTGTGTAATACGAACTTTGTATATTTTAGCCATAGAGGCTACTGCAGAAGGGCAATTACATCTGTTGGCACAGAAGTTAAGAAAAACCCAAGGAAAACTCCATTGCAAGTACGATGTGTGAAGAAAGCAGATGTGATATTTAACTGCAGGACCTCATATGCCAGAGCCAGTGCAGCAAGGCCACTAACGAATACTTCTGAACTTCAGTGCACTGCCTTTAATAGGACACTTGATTTGAGTTAATTTAAGGCTTGGCAGTACTCCATTTCCTTGGACAGAAACCCCAGGGTTACTAACCACTTTAAAACATATTGTCCTTCACTTGTTTGCCAGAAGAGTAAACTAGAAAAAGAAAACTTTAGATGTGAGAGGATGCAACATATAATTTCAACATGGAAGACTGTAATTCCCCAATTGTAATTTGGCTAAAGTAAGTTATAGTAACAGCAAGCTCTTATAACAATTTTTCTTTGAACAAGTTTCTCTGGTCAAAACTTTTGCTCCTCAATGTTACACCTTGAGCCCTCATCCAGAACAGTTTTCCAAACCCCAATATCTTCCAGTCTGCTTTATTACCTGAGTTTGAATGACCCCCAACCTGAGAAGCTTGTCAACGGAGAAGCCTATTTGGATGCTGAGCTGTCTGGAGCATTACTGAAATCAAATGAAACTTCACAGCGACTGTCTCCCATCTCTTTTTTTTTTTTTTTTTTTTTTTTTTTCTCTCATTTGGATGTCCAAATTAGAGACTTAGAAACATTTTTAAAAAGAAAAAGTACTATGGGCAGTGGTTTTTTTTCCCCCTTCATTTGCAAGGGAAGACAAAGACCTGAGTGGGAAAGCAGGTGAGCCCAGGACATCATCTGTAGATGGAACAATATAGTCTGAAACACTGGACTGTCAGTGTCCTAACTACTTTGAGTCTGAGAGCCTAGAAAGCATTTGATTATGGGCTTATTTTGTCCCCCTCATCACCAGGCTGCAAAGTATGTATCTTGGCAAAATTCTGCTTGGTAATAGTATCCTACTTAGTAAATTATTCCTACTGTTTCAATTGCATACTCCATTCCTCACTTCTCCCACAGTGAACAATTAACCAGCTGCTGCATTTCACTCTGGAGACCACAGCATTTCGTTGGTGGGTGAAGCGATCCCCAATATATTCTTTAACTAATAGAGCAGTTTGTTACAAGGCTTTCCATCTTTAAGTGCTTGGAGAAATGGTGATGGGCAAAGGAAAGTATAGCAGTGCTATAGCAAACATTGTAAACCTGGTAACTTTGGACAAGCAGCTACAGAGCACCCAATTGCTCAGATGCTGTCAGTGCAACACAGCTGCTGTGCTCAGTAGGATGTCTCCCCATCACCCTCCCCATCACCATCCACATCTCATGCACTGCAGGGGCAAATGCTTGCTAATGATGCTCCACAGGATGGATTTCTTCCTCCACTTCTTTTTTTAGCACTAAGCTTTAGAAGAATAATTTCCTCCTTCAAAGCAAGCTAGGGAGCAAATTCAAGCTCCCTGCATGTGTGTGTGATCTTAAATTCTAACAGTGAAGGAGAGCAGTTATTTTATCATTATATATATATATATATATATAGAGAGAGAGAGAGAGAGAGAGAGAGATTTTAAGCAAGACTTCAGCATTAGACAAAATTTATATACTCTTCTTATGTATTCTTAAAGATCTTCATGCCACCCAAGGCAGGTGATTATGTAAGCTTCCTATCAACAAAATACTGAAATGTATCTTATAAACAATTGTAAGTACCAGTGATCAAATGCAGATAAGGAGTTTAACATGCTAGACCTAGCTTCTCTAGCTAGTCACTCCAGAAATGAGATTCTTCCTCTTTCCCCTGATTACAAGTGTGAACATTTCTGTCTTCAACTAGGATCATGTACTTTCAGACCAAGTGAATTATTATGATAATTGAATTTGACCTTCTGCATAATACAGGCAGTAAAACATCTTGAAAGGTGAAACAACTATTTCAGTGTCTAGACTGTCATTACCATTGATGTGGATCCAGTGAAGGGTTCCTGTACAGTAATTCAGTTCAGACTGAAATAGAAACCAGTAGGCCAAAAAGATGCCAAAAGCTGCCCAAAATGCTCCAGTGTGCCTTGGTCATCTGCATGGGGCTGCCTCAGGGGATGCAGATCTTATGGGAGAACTATACTCTATCCCAGCAGCAGTTAAAGGCCAGGTAGTTACTATAAAAGGAGCATGCTTGCCCTGCATGCACATCTTTACCTCTGTAAAAAGAGGTGCTATGACACCTACCTGTGGGCAAAGGAACGCAAGCCTGCATCTCAACTGAAAATAGTAGTAATCTACCTATTTTAGGCACCTACCTTTATTTTTTTTTTTTCCCCATGCAAATCTCAAGCTCTGACTTAGCCCAAGGGTTCTTGAATCACACCTATGACTGTAGCTTTTAGTGAGATGCTTAGTCTTTATTTGAATGAAAGACAATAGTTTTCTTCCTAATGCATTCTAAAAATAATTCTTCAAAACAAAACAACTTGGTCCTGTGGGGCATCTTTTTGTTTGTTTTGTTTTTAAAAGCTGATGTCATCTTCCAGTCACTGGACTTGTGCTGTGTTCTACTATGTTAGTTAAGAGCTTTATTCCACCAGAAATATTCTTTTCATGCAGCAGCATAAGACTGTAAGCAAGCCACCTTTTAACTATTTTTTTTTTTTGTTAAGCTTAAGAGGAAGGTCACAGTTTTCTGTTACATTTAACCTGTAACCTAGAAACCACACACCTGCCTAGAAACCTATCTCAATTAAGTACTTGAGAGCAAATCGTATGAAGAGGCATTACGAAGGTGTTAAGTATTTAAAACTAGGGAAAATTACCTTTTTAGTGACAAACCATGACCCACTATTCTGAGTAGTCTTACAGTGCAAGAATGAAGCCAAAATTTTTTCCTTCTCTTAAATAAAAATTTCTGGGGTTGCACTGAGAACAGACACTCAACCTGTCAAACTAAATGCTTGTGGAGGTCATCTAGTTAATAACATTACCTATATATTTTTTTAAATGGATGTTGATTAGTTTATTTTTGTTAATAACTTCTAAAATATGTTTTGCAAGGTAAAACACCTTGTGATTCTCAGAAGAAAATAACCCTCAAGAGTGTCAGTGTAAATAAAGTAAAAAGAGAAGTTTTAGATTCACAATCACAAGTGCATCTACATAATTTATGGATGACAGATGTGACTTAAGCTCTGCCTGTGCTCTGCAAGAGTGTTTATGTCTGGCTCCATTACACCAACTAAGGCATGATGCCCTGTGGAGGCATCTTCACATGACTTCTGAATGGAGTACAAACAGTAGTCCTACCTTTGCCTACAATGTTTTCCCAGTTATTAGGTCAGTTAAACTGTGGTATCTCCTTGCATATACTATGTCTGTGGAAAAACCACATGACTTTATTACATGGTTCATTAAAAGGGTAAGCTAAATTGCTTCTCCTTGCTGTGGTCTGAATATGCTCAAAAATTGCAAGCATGGCTCAGTTATCACGCGTATTTGTTCAGTCTCAAGAAAATCATCAGGAACAGAGTAGTTCAGAACTGAAGGAGCCTCAAAAACCTATCTGGACTGGCTCCTCCATGAAGCAGCTTCCATTTCAAGGAAAAAACAGTCCCAAGCCCAGAATCCTACTGTCATAATCTTCCACAAGATGACAAGTAACACAACCCTGGGGCCTGACAAGACTGCAGCACCTCCCCCTTACATATAATACAATACCACTACATTACAGCCAGCAAGACAAGTTTTGTTACACAAAGCAGGTAAAGAATAAATCCGCTCATTAAGCCTGTGAAACAGAGCCAGGGATAAAATATTACATGATCATTTCTTTTTAGGTAGTGGCATTCCTAGCAAATCAGGATGCTCTTGCATTAGCTTTTTAGGTTTTACTTACAAGAGGGAGTTACCAAGGCTTCAGCCACTCCAAGCAGGATGTACTGTGGAGCTAAGTGGAAGCAAGGCATGGATGAGACCAGGAGAACCTCCTCAGAAAGGGTCTGTTCCACCTGAGGAAAATGCTTGCGGTGTATTTCAGAGAAGCCAGCAACCATCACAGAAAGTGCAGCAGATAATTGACCTGCAACTGGGTTAAGAGCAGAGTGTTCACCAAGGTTGCAGTTATAGGAACACCACATATTTACAGTGAAGCAGAGTCCAAGCACATACAAAGGAAAAGTTTTTAAAATTTTAAAAACAAGAAGAGATCCTTCTCCATGAATTTGATTCTAAATCTATGGTAAAGAGACACGAGCTCAGCACGCACAGAATGCAAGGATGCAGGGTAAAGGAGAGATTTAAAAAAGTATTTTAAATTATTGTTATTTTTTAATATTAGAGGAGATGAGGAAAAAAAAAAAAAAAAAAAAAGGCAGGTTGTCCAGTTACCAGAAAAGATTGAGTACTAAGAGCAGGGGAAATCCTACAATTCAAGTAGCAATAAATTTCTGAAGTATACAGACAATATCTGTTTTACCTTATTTTTTTCCTATACAAAAAGTAGTGCAGGCAAACTACTGTATTTCTAAAGTAACCACACCATTCCCTCAGCTTAAGACTGCTACCTGAGGCAACACAAACTTCAGCACATACTGTTAACCAACACATCACTGGAATATACAGCAGCTACCTTATCAGAAAGCGTGCAGAACTGGAAACTGGTAGGTTTCTTTTTTTCCCCTGTCATTTCTAGACAAAGGAACACAAAGCTCTCATGTCAGAAGTTATGTACTTCTCACTTGGTACTAATATATCTCTCCACATTATCACCTCTTCACTACTCTTAGCATTATTAATGGAAAAACCTGTGCCCTCACATACTCGAGTTTGAAATTATCCTTCCTTTTATTCAGAATTTAAAGAATTATCTACTCCCTAAACTATCTGTGCCATCAAACGAGCACCAGCGTTAGTTCAAGGGGGGGTGATGAAAGGCTTGGCTGTGGGAAGAGGAAAGCTGTAGCAGCCCAGACTTCAGTGGTCTGAGAGTGTTCTTCTTCACTGTATTTTATGAGAAAACTTGAATTAAGGGACACATATTCCATTCTCTGTTGAATTTCCTGTACTAGCTGGTTAAATCAAGCAGAAAAAACTCAATACACCTAAATCCATGACACCATGTTTTTCATGACGAGGTCCACCATCTAAATTCACTTTAAGATTTTCAAGTTCGCTACATCATACTAGATTTACAAATAAACCAACAATTATAAAGTAACAAATTACAGTTTTCACACAGGTCTTACTAGATAAATCAGATAGTTCAACACCGTCCCATGGTTTGTCTTTGAAACTTTTAACATACTGAAAGTTCCCAGGAAACTATTTAAATTTCTTCCTCTTAAAAAGTTCACCTTAAAATATAGGTATAAGCTAGCTTAACACTAACATCCTATTTGTACTTTCAATTTTTCTCCTGAAAATAATTGTGAATTTAATTAACTGTTGGCAAAGATATTGGCACTTAGAGGTCTTCCATATTTGCAGGTGCAGTCATATGCTTGGATATCTCAAGCCATTGCCTGTACTCAGAGGCATTTTTTATGCCTCAGGTAATTTATCACCCCTAACAGAAGGCTATTTTAATAAATGAACCTATTAAGAAGAAAACACTGCATATATTCTACTGCTGTTCAGTGTAACAGGATATAACATTAATACTTAGTTTTCCTTAAAACCATGGAAACTTCATCTGAATGTGCTTTCTGTGCTTTAATGCAGATGTTATTTTAAAAACTAGGGTAATTGCAACCTGCTGTGTTATATGCATCTGGTTTGTATAAAACTTAATAACACTCTTAATTAGGCTAATTTACTCAGATTAATACCTCTATGTGTGTCAGTACTCACTGTGCTGCATGCCATGGGGCACTGAATTAATAGTAACACACTGAGAAAATAGTCGTTTATAAATATTTTTGTCTGAGGTTTGTAATGCAGGCTGCATGATAAAACATGTGGGAAGTTTAATGAGAGCATCTTTGGAAGGGAGTAGCTTTAAGTGAACACAGGATGGAAGCTGCTTTTCTTGTGGAATTGCATGTAGTTGATATCAGAAGACTGTTGCAGATATCCCTCCAGATCCCAGAACAGAGGAAGTCTGAGGTTAGGGATACCATGGCTAAGGGGACCAGGAAACTGAAGAAGAGTAATGTCAAAGGAAAGCAGTCCAACTTCATCAGGCATCACCTGTAGTAAAATGTACTAAAATTATCTCTGCTTTTAGGCCATGAATTTCCATAAAATGAGCCCCAAATCCACGTCTGAGCTTAAATGCTTATTGTTGAAAGCACTGGAACTAATAAACGCAGAGACTTCTACACACTACTTCTACAAGGAAAAAGAGCTCTGAAAATCCTTCCTTTCTTTCCTTTATGTAACTGAAGCGCATAAGAAGGAATGTGTAAGTTACGTTTTAGATTAGTATTCATTAAAATGCTAAAGACTTGGACAATAATATATTACATATTTAACTTAAAATTCTAGTGCTAGAGAGGAAACCTGTACCTCTCCAAATAATCTTCCACTTGAGAAATGTTGAAAATTGAGAACAGCACATGATGCACATTTGTTTGTTTATGCAATCAGTAGTCTGTGAGTTCAGAACTTGGGCGATTTTAGAAATAGCTATTGTAGATAGAACTAGACTAACTTTTTTTTTTTTTTTTTTTTTACTTCCTACTTGGGATTCAATTAAAGAGTCAGGAATGGACTGTAACTGTGATAAGTTCCATAGAATCATCATAGAATCATAAAAAGGCCTGGGTTGAAAAGGACCACGGTCATCATCGAGTTTCAACCCCCCCGCTGTGTGCAGGGTTGTCAACCAGCAGACCAGGCTGCCCAGAGCCACATCCAGCCTGGCCTTGAATGCCTCCAGGGATGGGGCATCCACAGCCTCCTTGGGCAACCTGTTCCAGTGCGTCACCAACTTCTGCATGAAAAACTTCCTCCTAATATTTAACCTAAACCTTCCCATGTCAGTTTAAAACCATTTCCCCTTTTCCTATCACTATCCCCCCTTGTAAACAGCCGTTCCCCTTCCTGTTTATACGCTCCCTTCAAGTACTGGCAGGCCACAATGAGATCTCCCTGGAGCCTTCTCCTTTCCAAGCTAAACAAGCCCAGTTCCCTCAATCTATCTTTATAGGAGAAAGAACTCTAGTAAGCTGCAGTCCTAATGTCAATACAGGGATAGCTTAAAAAAAAATAATGAAAAAAGCTTGTATTTATAACTTAATTATTTAAATCCAAACTCATAATTTTGAGCAACAGAATCTTTTTCAAGAATCAGAGAGCTACCAACAAAGATCAACCCCCTGAAAAACCCCTTCCAAATAAAAAAAAAAAAGTAAAGAATTAGGAAAAAGCATATAGAAAGTAACCAGTGTGAAGTAAAATGCAAACCTAAATGGTTAGTGCTATTTCTTCCACCAGTTCCTTAGGATGACTTAGTTCTTTCCTCAGTGTTTGTCTCAATACATTTTATTGATCAGAAGAACTTCAGTCTTCTTCATCAATAAAAACTATGCCTTTTTCTCTAAATATCTAACATTTTTCAGGACTGCCTTTTCTGAAGTTTCTTTGAAATATACCTACCTCTGTCATCCCAAAACAAATCTATCTTAGTATTTATAGTTTGAAATAGTGGTAAAACATAGTATCAACTGCTGAGTTGTTTTTTTTTTTTTCCAAAACAAAAATATGTATCAAAACTTCATAAACAGATTTTAGACTTACCAACGTAAATTGTTGGAGAATGTCCACTTGCCTTGGAGCTGAAGAGATATGAGTTAATGCATTCCAAAATTGGAACAAGAATCAGTAGCGGCACGATGCTTATCACATTCATCGCAGCAATTGGCAGTACAAATCCACTGAAGTTCAAGTTGGAATTCATGGTTTGGAGATAATATCCTGAAGGAATCTGTATTGTGGAATACAAACCAACTTCAGTGTAAGTTACTTTTTATGGATAATTTTTTTCTTTTCCTGTAACAGAAGCTTCTTCAACACTTCCTTCTGAAGAAGTCACAGAAAACCAATTACACACTAACCAAAAGGAGTAACCATTCATGATTACAGCCTTTCAGATAGTGACTCTCATTCTCTGCTAGGCTTTAATATTATCTACTTATTTCACTTACTTCTCAGTTTAACAAATCTAAGGAGCAGCCCATCAATTTATATTAGCTCTAATGAAGATCAAATAAACCATCAGTCAACATAATAAATTCTCCTGAGTACTTCAGTGACTTCTTACATGTCTTCACAGTGTGCAGCATGACTCTTTTCATTTTAGAATAGCATGATGCAGAGTTGTCTTGAATTTCTAATTGTTTGCTCTAAGTGAAAGAATATTTTAAAGACATTCTTGCCATCACATAGCTTTAAGAGCTACATAGATTTAGCCATAGTCTTTGAAGCAGCTTAATGTGGCTGACATTAATGTGACTGGCATAGCAGCTGTGAAGGGCTACTTTTTTACTTTTGTAAATCAAAAAACAGAAAACAGTACTCAATTCAGCAACATTCCAATGCTATTCATCAGGATATGAAGTTAAGCAGACTTAAGACTGTCTTTCACTTCAAAAAGCAAATAGTTCCTATTTGTTTGATGATACATAAAAATTGGCTGAGTTTATTGACACATACATAAGAAAGCCCGCTGTTTATATCAACTTGTGTTTTTTGAGGAACCTTGGTATACTAAGCACTGAAACTTCACTAACAACAAGGAGTTACAATCCACTTCATTTTACAGACTGATAGGAAAATAGGTAGAAAAGAGGTAACTTGAGTAATTCACAGAAAGCAGCCATGGCAGAGCTGGATGTAGAATGGATTTCTTTACTCTCATTTCTGCTTTCATAGCATTTTGAATTTCTGAGGTTTTGTACATGGCTTTTCCGTGCAACTGGCAACGCCAAATCCAGATGGAATATTACTTGTAGCTGTCTGAAAATTAAAGTGTAGCTAGTAACCCAGATCTTCAAGGGTTACTCATCAATTATTATAGTCAACTGTAATCAACATAATTTCACTTGATGCTAAAGAGTTGTTCAAATGCTAGATGTTAATAAGAATACTATCACCCATATTTCATTTCCCCTCAAAAAATAGAAGATGTAAAAGGACGAATAAATAGAAACAGAATCATGACAGATCAGACATAAGCTAAGTTACATTGGTTCCTCATTTCCATTGCCTATTGGAAATCAGAATTGACTTATTAGGAATTATCATCAACATGAAATCTGTTAATAGTATGGAGAAAATACAATTAATCTTTATGAAAAATATCAATCTATTGCCTAGTCTAAGAAAAAACCTTAGACATATCGGAAATTCTGCTGAATGCCATTGCTTTCAGGAGGTGCAAGCAGTCTTTTCCAGATATATACTTAGACACTACAACAGAGATTATTGATTCCTGACTCATTTCCATCTGGTCATTAACACATAGCCTCAGTCACTTGTGTGTTTGTTTTTATTTTGTCTTCCACTCTCCCTGGCATGGAGCTGAGTGAGAGAAGAAAAGGTAGCAGATGAGCAGGAATTTTTAACAGTTGCAAGATAATGTCAATGAAATAGTGTATGTTACACATATGTAAGAATTTCCTTAAGCACCCTATGCATGCATTTTAAAACCAATAACTAAAAATGAATTTCTAAATTTGTTACGCCAGTTGCCAAAGGGTAAGCTGCTTCAAGCTCCTGCTTAGCCAGGATCATCCAGTCAGAAATTAATCTGAAGGAATCATGTCAGTTGAAGCAACTCCGTGAAATATTTACATATCATTCATACATTCAGACTTTGAAAGAACTGTTTCCATAAATGGAAAACTACACATTTCCACTGTAGATGCAGCAGACATATAAATCTACCAGAACAGTAGAAATATACAACTGAAACAGCAAAGAAAGATTTTATGCCTTTCCTAAAAATTGAGTGAATATTTAAGAAATTGGAAAATTGTGTGTTTCACAGGAGTGCTGAGCCTGAATCTTCAAAACATGAGGAGCACAGGAGTCTCAGCACTAGATATTTCAGTCGAAGGGATAGATAGAAATGAGCAGAAGAAAGACACAGGAACTACATCGCAGCAAGGCTGATTTTAGTTTTATTTGATGAGATGAAGACTATTCTGCAAGGTGGTTCTGTTGGTAAAGCAACAGTTAAGAACCATGTGAAATGGTAGTAAACAGTCTTTTTTTGAGATTTGGTTTGAAAAGTTGTTTACTCACCTGCATAATACATGTTCTGTAAAGAATTTGGAAAGCAAACAACGGGAAGAGCCTGGCAAGTGACTTTGTACTTTCCACTTGAGTCTCGCTGTACCGACCACCATGATATTCCTTGGCATGATCTAACCAGCTGGATACATCTCCACTAACGTAACGATACCGCACACAGCACGTTTTCAGTGCACTACCAATTACCCCAAAAGTTGTCAGAAGGGAACTGTCTGGAAACAATCAGACATAAGGCATTAGTACATTTTTATTTGCTGCCAAAAATAACAGAACAAAGCATTTTGTGAGCAAAAATATAACTTGATATATTGGGAGGTGTTGTATTACCTTCCCTTGTTTTGGCTTTCTCTTGAAAGAATTTAAACCCAAGATAGGAATGAAATGTCGCATCTCTGCTGAAGTCCAACAGGAGCCATGTAGAAGTGAGAAGGAAAGGGAGCTCAAAGGAGGGCTGATGGGATAGAAAGTTTTAAGGAACATGTTTCAATGTTTGAGATATCTTAGGATTCCCAACGTGCTATGGAAAAAGCTTCCAGTCTAGTTGTTGGCATATTAAAATTTGTCTACAAGTAATTGCTAGCTTGGTTCTTTCTCGAAGAAAGAAATATAGCAAGGACAGAATTGTTACCTGCATTCTTGAAGATACAGATTTATTTACCTTTGGTAAGTTGCCCATCCATGAGAATGAAAGCTATAGCATCTCTCTGCCTTTCTGATGTGTTGAAACACTATAGAAGCCATGTATATAGTGTCCAAATGTAACATGAATTCAGAAGACGGTAGAAAAAAAAGTTTCCCTATCACCTCTGCTGTTGAAAGTATTTTCTAGAATGTTCATCTGACACCTATAGGATATTCTTCCAAAACTAAGAAATGGAAATTAAAAAAATAATGACTGTCTAGCATTAACCTGTGGACTGTTGGCACAGTTAAATAAAACCTGAAGTAGAGAACATGACTGAAGCTTCCAAACATAGACACTACATACAGATTTTGTTTTCTGTGACTTTGCTAAGGTAATATTCTTACCAATCACTGTAAGCATTGCTAAAATTCAGACCCAACATATTTCAAGACCAGACCTGAGGACTAAGAACTATTCAGACTTTCAGATTGAACTGACTAAGAAGATAATCAGAAAAATGTGAGAGTTAGAGCTCTTGTCATAGCTCCTTAGTGTCATTTCAATCAGTTACCTACAACAAGTTACTTGTACAAAATATGTATGTTTCTTACAACAGAATTCAAAGCAGATTAGTAAGTGGTAAACTAGTAAATAGTTAAGTAAAAGTTGTAGTTCAGTCAGGAACTTGAGTCATACGTAGCCTATATCAAGAGGATATTGCCAGTTACATATTTAGAATAAGTGTCTTACCCATTCTTCAGAAGCAAAGCAGTAAATCCTACAATACTCCGCAGTAACAAATTTTTCAGATTACAGAAGTACACAACTGAGTAAACATCATATACTCTGTACTATTATTTCTAATGTTTTCTTGAGAGCACCTATCTGTATATATATTAAATTACATATTCCAGAAGGAAATTTCCCCTCTCTGTTATACTTAAGATCTTGGTTCTAACACTCTGCTACTATGACCTTTATGTAATCATGAATATCTATATTACTTAATCATAATGAAAAAAAATCTCTATATTGCACTCTAGATGGTGGATACACATTTTTCCCTCCATCTCTGATCACTGCCAATCCTAAAATTTTTAGCAATGGAAGAAATGCAAATTTAGTCCATGTTTGACAGGTAAACATAATTGAATGCATGATCCATATCTGAAGAGTTACATCAGAAAAAAAAAGAAACACACAAAAATCCTGTAAGGTCATCTATGGATTTGAATAACAGCTTTGATGTATTTAATGTTTCACTGTCTTACCAGAAGATACAAAGTGTGTTATGTTTTATTTTGACTAAAGAGATAAAAACACATTTTTCTAGTGATTAGCATTCTGCATAGATGTGGAAAACACTTAAGTTGAATAACATTCATTCATAGAAAAAAAACAATACAAGAAATATTCTGCTAGTTTTGTAGATGACTAATATAGCAAAAGATTGGCTAGTATAACACAAGATTGTGTTATCCTTTTTAGTGGTGTCAAACTACTTAAACAAGTAACCAGATTTGGTTCATTTGAATCATTCCAGTGCAGGCTAGATGCTGAAGACTATTCTTAGCTTCTCAGGTTGTAAGACCTGTAGCAAGACCCAGAGAGCTTGACAATTACTGTTCTCTCTATAAGAAGAACAGCTTAAGTTGACACTAGCCTTTACATACCTCAGTCAGATATGATTTTTTGAAGGGCATTGGGGAAGGGGTGCATTTCTTTCTAGTATTTCCATCACATAACATTCCAAGATACTTGGTTCACACATTCTTTCATTGCTAATAATTTTTTTTTATTGGACTGAACTAATAACAAAAACACAAATATCTTTATTTCAGTTTCTGTGTTCTACTGGAAAAAGTAGAGCAAGATTTGGGCACTTCTATAGACTTATTCTTACTTAGGCACTCAGGCTCCAGTTACATTTCTGTGCTTGGTTAAAGGAGAGAGATAGCTGTCATCAAAACATTTTGAAAAGCTGAAGTACTAGTTAGCACTAATTGCTAACTGATGAGCCAACAGAAATATAAGAACTTCTGCTTTAAAATAATAAAAAGTCTGCTTTGGAGCTATTTAGGGCTATTCAGTATTTTCAATTATTTTCAAATACATACAAATACCCAAGGTTGTATTGGAAAGCACACTGAAATAATAAGCATGAGATATTCTGGAATACTGAGATATTACAAAGTTTGCTGATTGATTTTGTAAACTCACTGCTTAGTTGCTCAGTTGTAACTTCATACCAAACTCTGGAGCATGCTTATAAGTGAAAACAAGTACGTTTGGTACCAACACCTCAACACAACTTGGGCATAGATAGGACAAAACACACTGACATTAGTAATGTGCAACATGCATGTAGTATCTATTCCTGTACATGAAACTGCTCTGAACCTATACATGGACAAGGCAGAAGATGTACATAAGTTCACTAGAGACTGCTTTCAATTTTTCAGCCTATCCAGAATCTATATATTTATCTTTACAGAGGATGTTTTCTCTTAGACTGACTCCATAGAGGTAAAACCCCTCCCCAGGCATCTACAATCAAACAGGTAATTGTTTTGAAAGAACTTATTTAGATGTCCAAAATGATGCTAAAACAATCTCTAAATATACTTCCTAAGAGATAGTTCCTTCTTACCTGTTTTGGGTTTGTAAATCATTTCTCCACGCACCATGTGAATTGTGATCATGGCCATAAGCACAGACACAAATGGGAGAAGAAAACCAAGATTTCTCGCCACAGATTGCTGGATGTAAGAGATGCTGACAAAGACAACTGCTGAATTTAAGTTAATCAGCCAATAAAACCTAGTACACAGAGACAGAGAAACCAAGTTTAGAAGAGCTGAATAATTTACAGCTTTTATATAATGGCATAGTTAAGTATTACTGTTATGGACAGCATCAGTAACACACAGACACCCCCACTTACACAGCAGAAACACCTAAATTCGCTTGGATGTTTCAGCTCGGTGAGGTAAGCGATAAAACTAAGACACTAAGGCAGAAGAGCTGAACAAATTATCAATCTAGAGCCATAAATAAACTTGTGGATAGGAATAATTAAATGTAGGCATTTACCATTTATACTTTTAATATCTGATAATGTAAGCTTAATGTATGTAAAATTATGAAATTGCATTTTTAACCTTAACAAAGAAATAACATTGCATATAACAGCCATTCAATTATTTCCTCTGGTGTGAAATAAAACTTCTTACCCCAACTTAGGTTTGAGTGCATATTGTACAAATAGTATCTACTGGAGCATTCGACCAATATATCCTGCTTACTAAGGAAATGCTTTGGACAGTAGGTTTATAAACATGAAAAAGCTGCTTTTCTGTGGATTAAACATTATTTTGAGACATTTAAAAAACAAATTCATTTTGAGTAGTCAGTAATCTAGCTTTCAGAGTACTTGCTTTGGGTACTTTGGTGATTCTTCTCAGCTCTAGTCCATTTGCTTGGATTATCAGACTAAATGTCAGGCAGGTGGCCACAGTGAGCAACAGCTTTGTTAGTAGACTTTCCCCTTCACTCTTAGAAGTCTGTGGAGGACCTTGATTAAATAAATTCTTTTGAGAATCTTATGCTTTAAAGACTTCTCTCCAAATCAGCAACATATTTTTTGGCAAATCCTTTAAGTAAAAGCTACTTCTAAAAGGGAAGAAGTACAAAAGGAATGGATCTGTAGAGCCAGATATCTTGTGTTAAGGACCCAGTATGTCTAGCCAAGGATTTTACTTTGTACGTTTTAGTCTGACCCTGTGGACTCAAAGTTTACTATTGGCTTGAGAGTAGCAAATGTACCATAAATTTTGCGGTTACGTATTCTGAAAGAACTCAGCTTCTGCATTCTGATTTCAACTCAAGAGCATATTTCTGATATAAGCAAAAACGTTATCATGAAATGTCTAGAAGAAAGATCTTACTAGAATATATTATGGGAATATATTCATTATGATAACTTAAGAAGTAATACTCAGGTGACTTTTAACTTAAAAGCACTGTTACTGTACTTGAAAAGCTTCCACTTGCTATAACAATTGAGATGAACTTGCTGAACAAAGACAGATCTAGAAAAAAAACACTAGAAAATATTCAAAAACTTTGCTTTGTCACTTTCTTTTAATAATTCTGAAAATGGAATATGTTTTCTGTCTCTTATAATACTATTTAATTTCTTTTAATTGATTGAGCCAGATGACCTTAAGTTTCAATCCAAATTCAGACCCAGATATTCCACATATTTGAGAAAGGCTCAGTACCCAAACCACGTATTTACCTGCACAACTTTTTAGGAGGAGATGAATTTTATTTAGAATAACTTCAGAGTTCTCTATAAAGAGAAAGTGAAAAAGATAAAAGGGGTAGACTAATTATTTAATTTAACGTTAAAGTGTCCTGGGCTGACAGCATAAATGAATTCACTGTATATGGAAAGAAAAGTGATTTAGAAGAGACATAGGAAAGAAGGGAAATATAGTTCCATCATTCCCTGTCTTCTTCTGTAGCAGATCAGTAAGATGAGACAACATTGCTAGCTGCCATCCTTTGTCCCAGTTGTGTACCTTTCACTCTTATTGTCTGCCGCCATGGACAGCATTTGTTTAAGAGGGAACAGCCATAGAGCATTTTGGAAGTTAGAACCAGGTCCTAGATGTGCAAAGCAATCTTCTTCAGGAATTGAATTAAACAGCAGGTAGTTGCAGGTTTATACTTCATCATTTCATTTAAAACCTACCTTTAACATAGTAAGTATGAATTTCTTTTGAACAGAATGTAGCTAAGGACATAAGGTCTTACTCATCAGAAGTATACAATCACCTTTTTTATCTATTACTTCAAAGTTCAATCCTGTGACAGATATCTACCAAGAAAAAACACTCTACCAAGAAAAAAATGATTATATTCTGAGAGGTTGTAATGAGATTAAGACCACTAAGAATATAACTTAGTTTTTAAAATTTTGAGATAGCAATTAAGTAGCCTCTTTTCAGATGCCATTGCAAAAAACACACATGTGCCTTTCTTAGTATTTCCAAAGCCCCAAGAAATAACCCATTTGGATTTCACCCAAGGAACTTTTTATTCAGATTATGTCTTCTTTGTAATCAACACTGAGAAATGTCACTTTGATTAAACACAACTCTGAATGGCTAAGACCACAGTACAATAAATTCTCCAGCGCTATCTTTCAGAACAACTGATTGCACTCCAGTCTTAATCCCCTAGAGTCTTATTTAATCAAAATGATGTTGCTAATTAAGGATTAAAAATCAGAATAGAGTAAAAAGATTTTTTTTTTCTTCTCTCCTATGGGCAGGTCAGGGAGGCAGAATCTGCTCTACAGAACTAAAAAGTCTCATCCACCTTTGGTAAAGCTGCTTTATTCACCACTGAAGTTTGGATTTAATTCAGAATTCTCTGATACTAACATAATTGGTGGAAAAAAAGAATAGCCAGTAGAGCTACTCCCAAAGGAATAAAGATCTGATTCACAAAGATCTTCATCGACTACTCAGTGTTTTGTTGTCAGTATGACAATGTGCTAAGTTTTGATTTTATTAAGTGTGTGTATATAGGGAAAGGACAGGAAAGGGGACAGTTTTAGACTTTACTTCACTCTGACTCAAACAGAAGTCCTACAGTTTAATCAGAAGGTCAAGGTGAATGTTTAGTGCTACAAAGTGATAAATGGAGGCAAACAGATGACCAAAAATGATCCCCCTGACACAGAAACAGTTATTTTGAAAAAGAAAAAACAAAAACCAACAACTGATTTTTAGAAACTATTTTACCTCTTCAATTTTTCCTCCAAATTTTCCTGAAAAATGAGATATTGTAAATGAAATATAAATGTAAAGTGCATCATCTGTTACCAAGTGTTCTGAGTGCAAGATCCGACATGATATATCATTTTCTTACCACTGATATCAGCAGTTAGAGTCTACTGGCATTCTTCAGTTCCAACAAACCAGGAAATTCTATTGCTACCTGTAATTTCTAAAAATTGTATCACTGAATTTTGTCACAGTCAGGGATTAATAGCAAAATTAAATCAAATTATAGATACGTTAGCTGTAGAATAATGTATTCCATTTGTTTTCCTAACAGCAGCAGGACACTAAGTGTGAGTACTTGAGCAAGTTATGCAGTCCTGGTTCTTGACTGAAGATTACTACTGAAGACCAAAATAGATGATCACCAGTTGGTCCTGGAAAGCAAGAACTATACCAAAGGTTTTGACATAAATTCTTGGAAACTGTTTCAAAGCTTAAATATTCTCCGTTTAAAACCCAGTAAATAATAACAATAATTGCAAGTCCACAGGGAATTTCAAAGCAATACAATATCATTCTCTACAGATACTTAGCTGTTGTTAAGTTACTAACCAGTTGAAAAAAGAAAGAAGTTCCTTTGGTCCACAGTTCTCAAGGTTGTATGCACTTAGTGGACAAACTATAGCTCTTATGCCTCCTATTCCCAGGCTAGCTGTGAGTAGTGCAAAGTAGAACACTATTTTCTGCTCCTTTTTGGTTAGCGTATGAAGAAGAATATGTCGTTTGTCAATGTAGATATCTTCAAAAGGGAAAGCCACAATGGGTAGCAGGGCTGTGCCTGGAATCAGAAGGAAATCATTATTTGAAATAAATTGAAGTCAGACTGATAAATGTGAATCTGTAAGCAATTATGTTGAAAAGATGGAAATCAGAAGACACCAGATGAGAGTGAAGAGGAAGGGCCTTACTTCTGCAGAAAGCTAGGAAGACAACACCACTGTGAGCCTCTATGAAAGCAGTTTTCTCTAATATGCTTGCAAGGATTTAGGTCCTTCAATATATTGAAGAGCTTACCCTGGAAACGAAAATCCTCCCATTGTGCTTTTCCCATTTCTTGTGTGTAGAGAGCAGTAGCTCTCCACTAGCCAGCAAAGAAACTAAAACAGCCAAAAAGCCTCCCCATTCTGGAATAATTAAGATTTAAAAAATATATATTTAAACCGAGTCTTTAATGAGGTCTATGATTTAACAAAGAAAGTCTCAAAAGTTTTACTTTTTTGTTGTTTCTTTTTAAGTTGTTCTGGTTTTCTGTTGCAGCTTCATGGGAAAAATATGTTTTTAGGAACTGAACTCACAGAAGCACTGCCATGAATTGCATTTACCAGCTCTAGTCTGCAAAGCAAGTCTCAGATTTGGTCAGCTATAGATTATCTGTGCTTTAATTGGAGACAAACTCAAAATATCGCAAATTTAAACATCAGCTTGACATTAGTCAAGGTTTAAGACTACAGCTGTGCATCAAACACTTACATTTAGAAGCATTCAATTAACCCGACAAAATGACCACCAGCTCTGAAATGCACTGAATCTCTCTATTTAGCTTAAACAGTTTTGGAGATCTTTTTTGCATAGAAGATCTCCGGAAGAGCAGTTGGGGAAGATTTGGATTTCTGTTAAAAAGCAAGCTCTCAATATAAGTATTAGGATATATCCTCCATACTCACTGTGGTGTTTGTTTATACTGATGTGTGCTTAAATGCATCTTTCCCAGTTATCCAACTACAACAGTCATGTCTTCACATACAACAGAAATGTTGCTACCAACAGCTGGGAAGTGCTTTCCATTCTTTTTCTCAAACTCTGTCTAAAACATCCCATTTGCCCTAAACACTAGCAACAACAGATGCTTGTTAAAGGGACCAGTTCTAAGAAAGAGTTGAGCAACTGCAATCTTAAGAGCTAAGCCACGTTAGAGAAGTAAAGATCACACACCTGCTAATCCATAAGACATGAAAATGCTTCTTAGCCTTGCTCTATGTATTACCTCACAAAAACACATGGGCAGAAAACTGCAAAGCGTTTTGTAGAGGAAAAAATGAAGTAATTCATTATGAGCAAAACTGGCCACGAGCTTGGAGAAAATTATTGATTTTCAGTGTTCAGCAATACATTTCTGTAACAGAACTATTGTAGCATTAAAGCACACCTGGGTGTCACCTACCTAAGAAGTGTAGAAACATGCAGATGCACACCAGCTTGATCCTCCCCACCAGGCACTCGGCGAGCCAGCCAGCCAGCACTGGTGTCAGCATGGAGGTGCCCACAAAGCACATATTTACAATGGCAGCCTGGTAGTTGCGATAGCCAAGTCTGACAGTGCAGAAGAGGATCATATTGCAGACGATGCCAAAGAATGTGAACCTCTCACACAGCTCCACCAGCAGCACACAAATAGCCTCCTGGACTTTCTTCTCAGGCAGAGTCAGGTTTCCAGCATGGTTTCTTCTACCAGGTAGCAGGTTTTTCTCCTTTTCAGCGTCAGCTGTAAGCTGCTTCTCTTGAACATCACCACTGCCTGCACCAGGCATGCTTGACTTCTTTGACTAGGACTCAGGAGGGCAGCTTAAGTTACAGGTATACTTCTGTTCTCCTCCACTGTAATTAGCAAACTGGTAAGACTCTCACTTTGAATTCCACACTTTACCACTACAATTTCGTGGGGCACCAGTCACTTTTGCGCTATTACATATAGGATCAAAGAGTTTCCAACAAATAAATTAATCAGAGACATACCAGCGTTTCAACTTCTGAATTTAGCAACGTTCAGGAACACAGCCTATTTAATTAATCCATTCATATATGAAAAACATTTTTTTCCCCAGTGTATGTTATCTGTTAAATTACTTGCGTCCAATTCAGTACATACAACTCTATTTGTATGTTAAAGGTAAAGGTTTAAATACACAGGAAAGCCAACATTATCAGCAGATTTTAAATAATAAATCAAGAAATATAGTAAACTGGAGCTTTAAATAGGCAACAGATGAAAAATTGCAAGCAGAGTTTTTTTTTTTTTTTTTTTTTTCTCCAAAAGTTAGCAGTATCTAATTTATTAGATTTGTTATATTTAGTTGAAATTCAGATAAGTTAATTAGAAAAATAAATAATGCAACTACATTTATGTTAGGGAATCAAATTTTAAAAGGAAATGAGTAAGTTGAATGTATTAGCAAAGAATAAAAGCCATCTGAAAGCAACGTAAACCAAAACTGCTTTTCTAACTAAATATTGTGTGGCAATACCTCATTTCGGACAAGAGCACATGCAATTTCTGCCCAGTAAAAGCAATCACTAGCTTAAATAATATTTCTGATGAGACAAAGTTGCTCCTTGTGCCTCTCATCCACAGAAAAGTTTGCAGTTTTCCCAAATCAGTTTATTTGTTTCTTGGAGCTCATTAAGGTGACTATCACCTTTTTGAAACACTCCCAAAGAAGAATGAAAAGTACTTTAGACAAACATAAATGCATATGCATGTTGCAAAGCAGTGGTAAATCAGGTGTATTTCTTTAAGAAGATCTCTCAATGCCTCAGCATTTTTGTGTCATATTTTTCTAAATGTCTATATAACTATTTTCATTTTACCTTCTCAGACCTATTAAGGCTTCTACATCCCCAAACTGATGCGCAATAGTATATAACCAGTATTGATAGATTCCTAGACTACCTCCAAATTAAATCTTTCAATGCTACTGCCAAATTCTAGTTTACTTCCTTGTCTTGTTTAAAAAGTATCTGACTTAAACACAAAGCCTAGAAAATCTGAAACTTGAGTCTACATAACAAAACACTGTACCTTAAAATAATTCTAAAATACATATTTTTAAAACTGAGTAAAATTCAAACACTACAGAAACTTTTGTCAGAGAAGTCCAAATGAGAATGAAAATAGCCATGTCCTGTAACATAACCAAGAACTGCTTCTGTCTTTTCACCTACAGTAGCTACAGAGATTTTCATTTGGACAAACCCAGCAGATAAATCCAACCTAGAAATCACCTGTAACTCAACCAACCTCACTAAAGCCTAATGAAGCCAACTCCAAATCCAAACACAAATAAAAACTGCTTGTAGACCAAAAGGCATATATGTCTTTCACTGCACAGAGATACTCTTATTTAACTGTTCAGCAAGAAAATGTTATTCCCTTACTTTATTTTTTTTTTTAGGAAATATAGCCTTTAAGGAAAAACAAGAATCAGATAGAAAACACCAGGATAAACACATTCTTACTACCATAGGCACTTCAGTATAAAGTACCCCAGTTTTCTACAAGCTATTTTTCTCTTAAAAGGTGCAAAGTTTACCTGTTCTCATACGTGCTAATAATTCAAAGTGAACCATATCATGGAAACTACTAGAGACAGCAAGGTTGCTAACCAAAATATTGGTATCTTAGTCTTCATGTGGTTTCATTTACTCTAACTTTGGATAACAAACAAGGGAAAGGAAATAACTGGCTGAGCTTTATATGTGCCATTGAAAGGAGGCAGTGGTGATTGTTTTCATTTTTTTTAATTCTGAATTGCCTTTGCATGTGACTGTTAAAGGCATGGTGATCCTGATAGTCACAGGTAGCAATCAGTAAATGAGTTAATGATGCCCTCAGTGAAAGCACTGTGGTCTTTCTTCATCTAGTTATTTAACCACATCTGCAGCAGATATAGGTGATCTGTTAGGGTATTCCATGATGTGGTTTTAACTGAGTTCTCCTTGGATCACCTGGTATTCTCTTAGCCTACTCTTAATGAAAGAGGTAGTAAAACTACATAGAACAAGAATTAAAAACATAAATTTAATTTCAATATGAACTGCCTTTGTTTTTTTTCTTTTATTTTTTGTCTTTTTTCCCCATATGTTTTCATCACTTTGAGCAATATCTTATTTCATGGGGAAGATTACGAAACAATTTCTGTTTAAAATCTTACCTTAGACAACTATTTCAGAGATTTCTGTGCAGGCAGCCGTCAGTCAGAACTGAGATGAAGTGGAATCAATTATAGGTTATGATGGTCTTGTTTTGTCTTGTAGTTCATGGCATTTGAAGCCTGCATCTGATGTTTCTGAAGAACTTTGTGAGCATTACTAAAAATTCAGGATAATGTTTGCCTGCATTTTTGTTTGACTACATACCAGAAGAACAAATGCAAACAAAACCTAAGCACTCTGTAAATAACATAAAAGATCAATTAATAAAGTGAAATGCAGTCATCAGGAATTATTTGTGAAATCTGTTAGTTTAACAAATTTAATAAAACTCTTCTGTGTTTTATGAAGATCTGTTACACACTGTACAAGTACTCTTTGATGGCTGAAAAAAAGCATATATGAAGTAATCCGTTATTAACATTTTTAAATATAGAAAAAAATATCTCAGAACTTCTGGACCTATGACATCCATCACATTACATCTGGATAGTTTTTCCATTTATTAAGTATTCCTGTAATGTCTTTCCACACGTTAACTGGAGGCAACTGGGAACCCTAGCTCAGTTCTGCCTTGCTGTGGGGATGTCATAGCCACTATCTTGTTCTGCAGCAGCTTTTGTCTGTGAAGGGGCAAGACCAAGGTGAAAGATTTAATGTAGAGAATAGTTGTATTTAAAAAAACATGCTTATTATTTTTTTCTTTTGTATAATTTAATGGTTCTATGGAAGCCATATTCTTCTTAATTCAGAGTGTAGCACAGAGCTTTGATGCAAAGGTCTTTCTATTCCCAGCTCAGCCTATGAAAGAGTGCTTTAGCCATTTCTCTCTGAGTCCTATTTCTGTCAGACTGCCTCTCTGGTTGTGTGCAAGCCATGTTAGTTTGCTGGGATCTTTCTCTCTCCATCTTGAAAATAGAAATAAATTGAATTACTTCACCAAGGTGGTAAGAGTTTAATTCACTAAAATTTACAGTGGTGTTCTAATTCCGATGTACAGCGTTACAGAAAGACAAAATACAATAAATAATACTTATTTTTATACATTATATATAAATTTATAATATTTATATAATATTTATATATATTAATATTTATTTATATTAATTATATTAATATTTATTTGTTTATATTTTTATATATTTATATAATATATAATATTTATATATTTACACTCATATTTATATATATATATTAGACACTACTAAGCCTAAGGTGCATCATTAAGTACTTAAGGAAGTGCAAATACAAGAAAGTGCAACAGTGGACACACTGGAGAGAACGCAATGCAGAGTCATGAAAATGATGAAGAGTCTGGCGCATTTTCTTTCAAGAGAGACTGAGAGAGCTGAGACTACTTGGCTTGGAGAATACTCAGGGGATTCTGATAAGCGTACATAACTATGTGATGTTTGGGAACTAAATAAAATAGGTCCAGGCTTTTTTTCAGTGGAGCCTGGTGACAGGAGAACAGGCAGAGGACAAAAAGACAAAAACTGAAAAATAATTTTGAACAAAAGTAAAAAACTGTGGTTCTCAAGCATTGGTAGAGGTTACACAGAAAGGTTGTGGAGTCCCCATCCTTGGAGATCTTCACAACCCAGCGTGACGTACTGCTGAGCAACCTGCTGCTTGTGACCCTGATTTCAGTGAGGCAGTTTTACAAGACGATTTTAAGCAGTGACATTGAGCAGAATGTAAGGAAGAAGGTGGTAGAGGCAAGAAAACAGTTTTTTATCTTGTTGCTGAGTATGCCCTCTACCAATAGTTAAAGATTTGCTAATTTACTTCTATATTTTTTTCAGGGAAGTGGTTTTAAAATTGCTGATCCTCAAACTCTTGCTATGAATGAAAATTATTTTGGCATGATTACCCTGTTCCATCAAACAGCACATCTTTTATTTAGGGGATTTTGTTCAAACATATATAATTATCTATGCTAAGCAGTTTTTCATATGTTGTAAGGCTCTTGTCTTATTGCACCTATTTGACGCTTTTATAATTCTGGAGTAATTGAATTGCAATTATTTTTCATGATGCATGGTACAGTTTTATATCACGTTGTTGGCAGATATTCTTTATGATGTCGTTTGGTCTAATGGGAAAATTAGAAGTAGCTCTATCATAGAGAAATATGGCTTTTTTTTGTGCCATGTTATAGTTTGTAGATGGCACTCAGGATATTTTCTTTTGACATATAGATTTTTAGGTACAGACTGAAATGAGATTCTAAAGCAGGGTTCACAGTTGAGACAATATTATCTGTACATCCAAGATTATTCCAACTATTCTCCCTCAGTGACAGTTCATTTATATTCAAGTCCATTTAGCAGTTAGTACTCTAGAATACATACGTAAGTATAACGTTATGGGAGAGTTTCTGCTCTAAATTCATCCCTGATTGCACCCAACTAGTTCCAGAGAAGCCATGAAAAGGTGCTAGCATCTTTTTAGAAGCAAATGCTCATCACAACAAGAGGATTGATGGTAGATCTCCCACCTCGTTGAAGAGCTTTCCACTCACCGCACTGTTCAGATAGTCTCTTAATCTCTCCTGCTGGAGCTGTAACTCAAGGTGTAAAGCTTTATGAACTGTACGGAAGCTGTCTTTGTAGCTTTGAGATCGTTCTATAGGTGGTTCTGTAATTTAGGGAAAGGCAAATCCAAGGCTCTGTGTCAATGAATAATTAATTATGTCCACAAAAATGATAATCCTCCGCAGACAGGAGTTAGTAGACATCATTTGAAAAGAGCATGTTTTGGCACAGTGGATGTAGAAGAATAGTAGGAAATGAGAGCTTAATGCTAAAGCCAGCAGAGCATCGTTTTACAGTGGAAAAATAAAGGAAGTTTTCAGTTTTACTTATGAAACAATATTCAGAATTTCACAGATTTTCATGGGGTGAGTCAATGGGTCGTATGAAATCGATCTCATTTGTTCATATGAAATTCTCATGATCATCACATATAAGTTGATAACAGAAAGTTTCAGATATACAGCCATCTTGAAGTCTTTTTCTGTCATCTATTTATACACATTTGAGCCTTGTGAACTGGTACAGTGAAGAACGTCACATAACTTACTTATTCAGCTGCAATGTTGGATGTCCAAAAGCTGAAAACTGTATATAATGGCAGTCAATAATACCTTGTGTGGTTTGGGAGAAAATGTCACAGATGAAAATGCATGTTCTAGTAAGGGCCAATAAATACTTATAAAAATTATTATTTTTTAATGGAGAAACAGTTGTCTGTCTTTATGAAAGATGTCAGCTTTGCCAGAAGGTCCAAGGGAGGTGACAATTCCATTCTTCTCTGCACTGGTGAAGATGCACCTGGAGTTTTGGTGACAATATCCGTCTTTGATGGAAATTTGTCTAAAAGGAATAATATTGAAATTATACTGCTAATCTCAGGATACATGCACATTTTCAAAATTCTCTCATTTTCTTGCTTCTGCATTATTAATAGTTTAAGCAAAGGAAAATTGGAATTTTGTACCAAGCACAATCCAAACACAGATTTCTTTGTTACTAGTTTTGATATAAAAGCTGAACTGAAGACTTGAGTTCGAACAGGTCTGGATTTTGTTCCTGATGCGCTCTTCTAAGTGCCGACACTTCTTTAAACTTTCTCTAATGTTTGGCATTTAATGTAGAAGAGTTTTGGGGAATTCCACACACAGCTTCTGAAAGCATAGCATGTGTGCAGCAGCAGGTCAAACTGCCATATTTAGTTTCCAAGAAAGTCAGAAAGTGCTTGGGATAGCATACAATATTTGTCCAGTGGTATGGAGTCTAAACTCCATTTTTTCTTTTTTTTTTCTCCCCCTCTCCCCATGACCTTTGCACCAGAGTTTGAGACAGGGTCTGCACAGAATGATAGACTCATATAATGCCTTGGACTTGAAGAGATCTTAAGATCCATCCAGTTCTAATCCACTGCCATCATTTCAGGTTGCCCAGGACCCCATCCAACCCGGCCTTAAACAGCTCCAGGGATGGAGCTTCTCTGGGCAGCTGTGCCACTGCCTCATCCCCTTCTGAATAAATAATTTCCTCCTAACACCTAACCTAAATCTCCTCTCTTTCAGTATAAAACCATTTCTCCTTGTCCTATTACTATCAGACCACATAAAAAGTTTGTCTCCCTCTTCTTTAAAAACCTTATCAGTACTATAAGGCTGCAATGATTTCTCCCTGGAACCTTCTCACTTCTCCAGGCTGAACAGGCCCAGCTCCCACGGCCTTTCTTCATAGGATAGGGCTCACTGCATGTGGCTTATATGTGGCACGTGACTCATTGCTAGTGTCTCATGGTATGTGGCTTATATCTTGCACGCTGCCTGCTCATGGCATGCTGCTGTCACATGGCTGATATTTTTTTACCACAAAAGAAAGGGATGTCATCCAAAGCAACACAGACAGGTTTGATAAGTGGGCCTGCATGAACCAAATGAAGTTCAAGAAGGCCAAGTGCGAGGTGCTGCAACTTGGTC